TTTGGTCTAACTGGAATTTTGCCTGGGTAAGCAGTACTGTGGCAGTTCACTGGTTTGCTGTGTATTTTAGGGTGTTCATCGGACACTGAATTCAGTTGCTCCATTAGTTGTCAAGAGGTGAAAACCATTTGGATTTCTAGTGATTAAATATTTTGTAAACAGAACTAATTAGGGACGAGTGTGATAGCATTGAGGTTGGTATAACATTTTTTACAGTAAAGTTATATAAGACTGCATGAAAATGACATTGATTAAAAGTTACAGTATTCAGTTATATTTAGAACTTAATTTAAAATCTTAAAAATAACCTGGGGCCAGCTGTAGGTAGATAAAGCATTGTCTTCTAATTAATTCTAAGGGCAGCACTTTCCATATTTTGTTTTGTTGAAAAGCCATTGAATTTTGAATACTTTTTCAGTCCTTTTGGAATGAGAAATGAGTCTCAATGTAGTTTACCCAAGTGCTACATATATCTACCACTTCAACCATAATCATTTCTATGCAATAATCACAGACTCACATATCTTTCATACTAATAGTAATAATCATCCTTCCCTTGATCACAAAGTAAAAGAAACCTTTTCCAAACAATTTGTGTAATAATTCTTTTTCATTTCAACTATTGACACAGTAGAGATGTTAATGCATGAAGGATGAGGTAGCAGACTTTTTGCATAAAAGTTAAAGAAATCTCAAGAAGTGTATTACTGTAAAAGAAAAACAAGTCCAATGTTTGCTTAGTAGAAATACACCAGTTCCTAAGAAGGCTCTTATACCCCAGTCTGTACTTGGAAGATTCTACTTTAATAAATATAAGCTGCTTGGCTTTGTTTTTCAGATCATGCCACTCTAAGGTCTACTATCCAATTTTTGAACCACAGTTTCTCAGTAGTTACTTATTATATATTAAAAGGGATTAACATCCCTTCTAAGTCTTACCTATACCTAAGGCAGAGACATCTTTTTCAATTCTTTCCTACAAATATATTGGACCAGTTTCCCCAATACTACTCAGCTGAGCTAGGCACATGATTAAAGAAGGGCAAAGATGGCTAAACACCCTCTTTTAGTCTCCTTAAATCATGAGGCTGGCCTGAAGTGCCAATCTAGTCTCTGACAATCTCTGACTTCAAGGAAACTTAAATTATTTTCAGCAGCCCAAGGTTCCCTGGTAGTATTACAGGTAATAAGGGTTACTGAGATATGAGGATACTGTGCATGCATTACTTAGGATTACCTTCTACTTAAGATGCTTGAAAAAGAACAAACACAGAAGATGCTACAGTCTTGCATATGAAAGGAACATGTACTAGGCTTGAATGATTCATTTAGGCTGCTTTGCATAACTGAAGTTGTGCAAAGCTGGAGCAGGTTGTAGGATTATATTGGTCCTGTTTTATTAATTTGCTGATCAATTAAGGATGCCACAAGTGAGCCCCTAACATTGTTACCAAAATGAGATATTAGTGGATCTACACACATGATTAAGGGCCCCTCTACATATGCAGGTAAAGGTGAAATGGGATTTAATGCCTAATCCACACAATCACACCTCCTGCCAAGCTACACATGCAAGGCAGAAGGTGAGATTGTGGAATCACACATTAAATCCTATTGTGCCTTATTGCTGGTACAGAGGGAACATGGGCTCACAATCCTCATGGGAAAATTGGAACATTGTGGGCTTAACTGCCCGATGGTTAAGTGGGTAGGAAACTGGCTGTAAGGTAGGACACAGAGTTCTTATGAATGGATCTTTGTCATCCTGGTGAGAAGTGGCCAGTGGTGTCCTTCAGGGGTCCATGCTTGGTCCAGTCAACATCTTTATTAATTATTTGGATGTGGAGGTGAAAAGCTCCCTGGCCAAGTTTACAGATGACACCAAATTATGGGACTGCGTGGTAAAACCTGAAGATTCAAGCAAACCTGGACAGATTGGAGAGTTGGGTGAATTAGAACCAGATGCAGTTCAACACTGAGAAATGTAAAGTGCTCCATCTGGGGGCAAATAATCCCCAACAAACCTACAGGATAGGTGGTGTGAATTTGACTAGCACCATGACCAAAAGGGACCTAGGAGTAATAATTGGCCATCACATGAACATGAACCGTCAGTGCAACACTGTAGCCAGCAGGGCAAACAATGTTTTGGCATGCATCAACCAATGCATCTCATGGAAAACCAAGGAAGTGATTCTTCCACAGTACTCAGCACTGGTGAGACCACAGCTGGAGTACTGTGTCCCATTCTGAGCACTGCACTTCAACAAGGATGTGGAGAGTCCAGAGAAGAGCCAACCATATGATCAGAGATTTGCAAGACAGACCATATGAGGAGAGACTGAGGGACTTGGGACTCTTTAGCCTAAAAAAGAGACAACTAAGCGGGGACTTGGTAGCAGTTTACTACTACATGAGGGGCGTACATCAAGAGCTCAGTGAACAACTGTACACCAGGGCACCCTTGGGGAAAAACCAGGACTAAAGGCCACAAAATTCTGGAAGACCGCTTCAGGCTCAACTGTAGGAAAAACTTCTTCACCATCAGGGTGTCCAGACTGTGGAATAAACTCCCCCAGTGGTGGTGCAATCACCTGGAAATCACCCTGGAAATCTTCAAGACAAGACTTGACTGTTCACCAGGGCACCCTTGGGGACCCTTGCTGGGATCACCTGACCCCAGGTGTCTTTCTTGCCTAGTGCAGGAGGCCTGGACCCAATGATCTTGTGAGGTACCTTCCAGCCCCTAGCAATCTATGAATCCTGGGCTCCCCATGTACCAGCTTCCACAGCTGATGTGGGACGTGGGGGCAGTGCTGGGAATGCTTCCCACCCTGTGAACATCCTCAACTGTAAGGCTTGCATCAGGGGAAGCAGAGAGAATGCTGCCCCACCCCTGCAAACCTCCTGAGTTGTGGGGCTTGAAGCTGTGGCAGTGCAGGGACCCCACACCACACAAGGCTCACAGCAGTGGCAGCATTTTCTCTTCTGCAAGCTTTGTGGCTGACAATGCTGCCACCACTACGAGCTGCCTCAGCTGCAGGGCTGGCAGTGGGTGGTAGACCCCTGTGGCTGGGAGCCCTTCAGTTGATGGCGTCCCCAGCCACAGGTGAGCACTTGGCTACACTTTCAATTATGGTGTAATTAGAACAAGCTACAGAATTATTAGATATTTTTTGTGGAATAACTTTTTAGCTTATTGCTTGTTTTAACATGTCAATAACTGGTTGAAGGTGTAGCTAGGTCGCAACTTAAGGTGTGATTACCTGGTTAATCATGCTTTAAGTGTACCATATAGAGGGACCCTAAGTGCTCATTGATTTGAACAAGGGCTTCATGGGCAAGAAAAAGATATATTTGCCATCTCTGAGCGTTGCATCTCTGAAATTCTGCTGAGCTATTTTTCATTACCAAAATAAGGTTAGTACTTTAGAGAAGCACCCACAAATGTTCACTTGAATTTGTAAGTGGATTTGCTCTGACCATAAATATACCTTTGGAACAGTTACATTTAATTGTGCAAATATTTGTACAACAAGTTTCTGTATGTTCATTCATTCAGAAACTGAAAAAGTTCTTTGTGACTTATTTGACCAATCATGGTAGAATAGCAAATATGAAATATAATCAGTTTTGATATATTCATTCATGCCACTTCTGTGACTGCTACCCTCACTTTGAATCACGATGAATGTTGAGCAAAATGTAATCTTTCTACTTGAAAGTTATTATGCAAGCTTCATTTAGAGCTACATAAAACCTTTCCAGATAATTCAATACTGCTGTAACATGGCCTGTGTGATCCAAATACATATATTCAAAACAATATATTTAGGTTTGATAACACAATCAATGTCCATAAAATAAAAAATAAGCACAATATGAAATAAATATTATGGAGCAAATCATACAGCAATGGCTATTAAATCTACCCACAGATATCTAACAGTATTCAGATACATGTTTCAAATAGTTTACCAAAACCA